GCAAAGATAAAAATATTTGTGTATATTATCACACCTAGAAAGAAATTTAAATAACTGTGCCATCTCAAATAGTACAGATCATTTCTATAATATAAAAAACTTATTATACATAATCCAAGGAAGTTGACTACGGTTTACTAAAATTTTCAGATTTAGAAAATTTAACTCAAAAGTTGAAAATTAAGAAAGCTTCACTGAAAACTTTAAAATACAAATTATATATATGAAAATTCCGAAGTAAACTTTAACTATGCATCACACAGATATTTAGATAAAACAAATTCTTTTACTTTTAACAAATATTCAAATAACAAATTCTCATTGTCTTTATGTGATTATTATTTACATATTTTACATTGAATGTTAAAGATATTGATCCTAAAAGTGAATTTTCTACAGAGCAACATACAAATAAGTCAAAGAATACTTATTTTGCAAGTGTTTGCAAATCAATATTAAGTAATTGGGAGGATTTCGAAATGTCAGGACAATATCCAGGTCATAGCCGACCTCCGGTTGGCACACCTCCACCGCAAACAGTCTGGAACCATCTTACAATGACACAAGGTCAAGGTAATATTATTTAATGTGTTTGTACATAAGTTTCTTTTAGCATTTAATATTACAGTACGCCCTTAGTTCTTAAAAAAAAACATTGATTTTTATTTAACTAGTTTCAGGCTTAAATATTCATCCAACAGCTCTGTCTGGTGCTGCATTAAGTCCAGCTGGATTTTATACACATCCATCTATGGCAAGGGCATCTCATATAACATCACAACTTACACCTCAACTTGCACATACTCAAGCACCTCCAACATGGCATACACCAACTGTTCCATCAAAGAGTGTTACTCCAGCCAATACTCCAGGAAATCCTTTATTTAGTTTACAAATGCTAGTAGATAATAGACAGAATCAAAGTCAGTATAGAAACTCACCAGGTTCACAGAGTACGTTAGACTTATCTTCTACATCCGAAATTATTCCTGAAAATTATTCTCGAATACCTCAAGATATTCCAATAAGTTTGACTGCGAGAAATGTAGATAAGAGTAGTAGAAATGGAAATATAATATCTCCTCCTATACCTTTAAATGGAGAAACTTCGTCGGATAGTGGAATTAGTTCATCGGTTCCAACACCTAATTCTGTTAGTGAACCAGTTTCACTTTCAACAAAAGAAGCTACAACACCTAAAATAACAGTAAAAAACTTTGGACAAGCTCCGTTCAGTGAAAAAGGCGTGGCAAACCTCCATGATAAAATTAAGGAAATAAGTGTAGATAATTTTACGCAAAAAGTGATAAATCTACCACCTAGTGTAACAATCGAAAGGGTAATGCCAGATAAAAAAGAAACTGAAGTTACAAAGAATAAAGATACATTAAGTGTTATTGCACAAGTGCCAAGAAATGTCCTACCTGTTATTGTAAATCTCACCTCGAAAGGAGACAAAGATGTAACAGACAGTCCAAAACGAGAATCATCACTGGAGCGAGAACGAAAAATTGAAGAAACAAATGTAAGATCACCAAAAAATTTACCGAAAAGAGGTAAAAAGGGCGTTGACTCTTTATTGGAAAAATTAGAAGGTGGGAACAAGAAACTTGGTAGCGCTGAAAATATTGGATCTGTCATTGTGATGCCAGTAGAAGAGAAGGACACATCTAGTGTAAAAAGTATGTCTCCAGACCGACAAAAATCGAAGTCTCCAAACAGGGAAGATGAAGTTGTATCTCCAGCATTCAGTAATGACGATTCTAACGATAACACCAAACAACGCAGGAAAAGAAAATTGGAAAAGCCTGTACGACTTAGCAAGGATTCCAAAACAGAAGTAGAAGATATGGAATTGGAGCCCACAGAACCATCAGAGTCTAGAGCATGTGAACCAATAATACCAGGAGATGTGACAAATGCTGTGCCAGTTGTAAAGGTTGAAGACAATACTGAATCAGTAGAGCAGAGAATACCTGATAAAGTCGAAGATAACGTAGAAGAAAGGAGCGAAGAAAACCAACCAATTAGAAGGCGACGAAGTAGCGAAAGTACACCTCCTAGTTCAACTCCTACAAATCAGAGGGTCCGAAGAAAATCTAGCGATGACGCCACTGAATTTTCAAAAGTTACAAGTCCAAAAGGTGTAAATAATACAAATCCATTTAACGAAGTCGAATCAGAACTAGAGAAAATGTTTGCTGGTATTGTTGAAACAGAGACAGATGTCAAAAAAGAAGAATCAAAAACAGAACTTGCAGAATCTGAAGATCAAGCTGGTAGCACAACAAAAACAGACAGTTTAGAAAATAGTATCCTACATCCAAAAGATACACAAAGCCTAAATCTTACTGATGTTTCATCCACAGTTGATACAAAACTGTCTGGAAAAAAGGGCAAGAAAACTAAAGTGCAAGCCGGTAAACGGAAAATATCTAGATCGTCTGAAAATATTTTCGGAGCTATAGGTAATGACATACCCCAAAAAGAAATCAAAAAACGAAAAATGTCTAAAAGTTCAAAGAGGCAAAATGTGTCGAAAAAAACAAAGAAAAATACGAAAATAGACGGACTAAGAGAAATGGCGTATGATTCTGGGTCAAATGCAAGTTCTATTAGATCTCGTGGACCGGTAGTTCATGTTGAAGGTCCAAGAGATAGCCCATTAAGCATTCAAGTAGTTAATGCTCCAAGGGAAGATGAAGAAGAAAAAAATAAAGAAAAGCGGAAAAGTGTTGGAAACGGCAACGCAGGAAGAAGTAAGAGACTTAGTCACCAGAACGATTTAGATTATAGGGGTGTGTATTTTTCATATTTTTAACCTTTGTATATACACATATAGCATTTACAACATCAGCAGCAATACTTCAAAATTTGTCTATTAAATAGGCATTATCTAATAGATTATGGAAGTTTCACAATATTTTTTCTGTTTAGGTAAAGTCAGTAGAGCTGGTCTCTTCAGTTCAACATTATCATCACGCTATGATGCACATACAACAGATTCTACATGGGTTTGCGTATTTTGTAAGCAGGGTCCACATTCTGTTGTACCTGGGGATCCTTCTCGACCCCATCCCAATCTGGCTGGCCCTCATATAGCACCTGGAACTTACACTGTATGTTGTATCATAGTTTGTTGCATTTGTATTCAGTGGGATTTAAATTTGGGCATTTCATTGATCAGTGATGGTATTTTTTTATTCGCAACACAGGTTCCAGCAGGTGTTTTAAGTGACTTATTTGGTCCATATTTAATTGGTAAAGAACGTTTAGAAGATGGAATTCTATCAGCAGATGAGCAAGAAATTACTACAGAACAAAAAAAGGGCGGTAAAAATAAGAGAAGTTTGAGATATGCTGGTCTAGCTGATCAATTTACTGCGAAAATGGGAAAGAAGAAACGAAATTCTGTAGAAAGTAATACGAATGTCATTTTTACTGGAATGACTGTACTACCAGGGGAAGAACAACGTTGGGAAGTGTGGCTTCACGAACAGTGTGCCGTTTGGGCAGCTGGAGTATATATGGCAGGTATAATCAATGAAATTTATTATACAGATAATTGACATCAAAAAATTTCAATGGGTATGAATGTTACGAAGTAAAATAGTATATTAAAAGAAACTGATTTCCTTTGTTTTTATTTATAGGGGGCAGAGTAACAGGTTTACAAGAAGCAGTGTGGGACGCAGCGAAGTCGATGTGCGACGCATGTGGTTTAACAGGAGCAAATATTGGGTGTGTTAAACGGGGTTGTAAGGCTGTTACACATTACCCTTGTGCTCTGACAAGAGGTTGGCACTTGGATACTAATCAGTATATACCGAAGTGTAACCTTCATCGAGTTACGTGAAACTTCGGTGAGTTTTCAAATAAAATATGCAAAAATTTTTGTACAATGCACATGGCAAATAATATATTATAACTTCAAAATAAAATATTAAATTCAAATTTGCAATAAAAAAGAAAAAGAACTAGCTGCAATTATCGTGATCACGATTAATTTAAACACATTTAACACGTTCACAGTTCGTAGTACCATGTGTTTATTGATAAATTTAATTTTTCAAAACATATATTCCAATTCATGGCAGGAAAATTGATTTGTTGCAATAGAGGATTGTTTCAGAACTAACATGAAGTTAAGGAAGACCAGGAATGAAGGACAGAATTTGTTTATGAAGCATGTGTATTACTTCTTTAAACGTGGTTAAACGTATGTTTATACTCTCTGATGTAGGGCAGGCGAAATGTATTACACGGCTCGTGTTTTTCTTGTTGGGTATACTGGGCTGTGAACGTGTCTCGTTAGCGACTTACCATAGAGACTTTTTATCCTTTTTTGTCATCGCATTTGTTGCTAAACAATAAAGCTTTAATCGAATCTAACCATTGATTCATTTATATTTTCAGCATTTAAGAGTTTTGAGATGTTTTGAAATTACGCTTTGCGTCACATGATGCGTAAGTGTGTTTGAAGCGTGAAAGTATACATGTCATGACAGACATATGGCAATTTCCATACACAAAATATCAATATGCTCGACAGAAATACCTTCCAATGTACAAGATGTTCAAATAAGAATGTTGTTGTCTTTAAGAATTCCAAACGAAAATGGAAATTAACGGAAGCGGAGAAACGGAAGTTCTTCTCGTTAATAAAATTTAATTAATTTTCTTGGCCTGTGGCCTTGAACAGTGGCCTTTTCGACCTAATGTAAAAGCAAGATTTTTAATTTAAAATCTGTAATATAGACAAATCGTTGCTGAGGGATAATATTAATCAAAAAATATTTGCTTTTTTACTCATACTTAAGAAACTTTGGAACGTTACAAAATTTTCCCTGAAACATCATGTACGCAGGAATAGCATATAGGGCATATTGTATCAAAATTTGTAGAAAAAAAACAGAATTCGGCGAAGGTTTGATAATTATGGTGTTCCCGCAAAGATTCGTATGTGTGTACATATATAAAATAGGATAGATTATTAATCAATTAAATTTGTGAAATTTGAACATTTATGATAGTTTTCATAAAAAGTGCGGACTAAAGACATACGGACAAGTGTTCTCCTGTGAATGTAAGAAATCACCTGTAAATAACAAAGTTCTTATATGAGAAAATGACTATTATATTATTATAGAATTCCAATGATACCATAAGACATTCTTCCGTTTTTAAAAATCATGCTATTTTAGTAAGCATGTGTAGTTATGTTCTTTACCGCGCGAAAATACATTTAGTATAATGATACTTATTTCTATTATAGTTTTTTGAAGATTATTTGTGACATATAAATCTCATATAGGTGTAA